AGGTGCCTCTTCGCATGGCGTTTTGGACTTCGTGAGGTCGCCTGGCCCCCATTCCTGATGATGATGACGGTGGTGGTGGTGATGGTGATGATGACGATGTCAAAGGAGGTGACGATGGTGGTGGTGATGATGATGGCAATGATGATGATGATGGTGGTGATGATAATGACGATGACGATGGTAGTGATAGTGATGATGGTGACTATGATGATGATGGTGACTATGATGATGATGATGATGATGATGATGGTGACGACGACAATGATGATGAACAACAACAACAAACAGCACCGACAAACCCTTCATCAGTTTCTTCAAAAATGTCTTATCCCTCTTTAGGAATGGTACGTACCTCGTGTATAGACCTGTGTGAGTGATCTAGATGAATCGCCGAAAACAAAAGATAACACGCACACTCACAAACAAACACACTTAAAAACAAACAAACAAATACACTTACACACACACACACACACACACACAAACAAACACACACACACATACACACACTTATACGTACACAAACGTTCAAACACACAAACAAACACACACACAAACACAGACATTAAAACACACGCACACAAACATACCGGGATACACGTCCAGAGACTTGTGACTCTTGACCTTCCTCAGCTGGCCAATTGTTCGTGAAAGAAATGGGGCTGAATGAGTGAATGTTAGGGTGAATGAATGAATGAATGAAAGAATGAATGAATAGATGAGTTAATGAATGAATGGATGTGTGGGTGAATGAATATGAATGAATGAGTTTATGAATAAGTTAATGTATGTGTGAATGAATGAATGAGACCCTAACCCAACCAACCAGCCAACCCACCAAATGAATGAATGTATGAGTTAATGAATGAATGAGTTAATGAATGAGTTAATGAATGAAAGAATGAATGAATAAGACCCCAACCCAACCAGCAAACCACCCACCCACCACCCCACCAACCTTCACTGGCATCTCCCACCCTGATGATGTGGGGCCAGTGTTGCAGGGTCTTCGCGAAAAATGGATTCGTCACGCCAAGAATGACGCTAGGACTAATAATAATAATAATAATAATAATATTAATAATAATAATAACAAACGTACACACGCGCGCGTACACACAAACACACACAGAGAGAGATACATAGAAAAATAATATTAATAATAACAAAAACACACACACGTACGTACACACACACACACACACGTACAAAAACACACACACGTACACACACACACGTACGTACACACTAACAAACACACACACACACAGACAGACACACACATAGATACAAACGGTATTTGGCTGGAGCTAGTGTACTCTCTGAACTCTGAGTCATGTATAGTGAAAAATGGTCGGAAATCGCAGGCATACCTCACTGGCCAGATCAGGCTGATCAGAGCGTGGACTACTGTGCTGCTAGTGGAAGGCTGAGCGGCCATCACCACTAAGGGCTGTGTGCGTGTGTGTGTGTGTGTGGAGATTATTCGTGTGTGTGTGGTGTGTGTGTGTGTGTATGTACGTACGTGTGTGTTTGCGTGTAGAGATTTGTGCTGATGATGATAACAATGATGATGATGATGATGATGATGATGACGAAAAAAAGGATGGAAAACCAACTTCACAGATCAACACGAGCTCCCAGAGTAACTGAACGTGACTCAGAATCTGGAGGAAGCAACTGATGATGATGGTGATGACGATGATGTTGATGATGGTGATGTTGATGATGGTGATGTTGATGATGGTGATAATGATGATGATGTTGATGACGGTGCTGATGATGATGATGTCGAAGATGATGATGATGATGTTATAATTAGTGATGCTATGATGCTATAATGATAAGAAGAAGAGAGAGAGAAGACGCTAAGTGAGTATAATCCAATTCCACTCCATTTCACACACCCACACACACACACGCACACATACACACACACGCACACACACACGCACACACATACACACACACACGCACACACATACACACACACACACACTAACTTGTATGAATCAACCTCATATACAGAGGGTATGAAGACGTTAGCTAGCTGGTTCACCTGTGATTGGTTGGACGATGGTGATTTCATGAATATTAATGAGACGATGGATCCAACTGTGACTGGACGATGGTGATTTCATGAATACTAATGAGATGATGGACTCAACTGTGATTGGATAGTGGTGTATTCATGAATATAAACGAGATGAATAAATTAATACATTTGGATATGACATTTGAAACAAAAAACTGAGATAAAGTGAATATAGGAAAAATAGAAAATGTATGAATGAATGAATGAGTGAGTGAATGAATGAATGAATGAATGAATGAATGAATGAATGAATGAATGAATGAATGAATGAAAAAATTGACGACAATCAATTAATATAACCTGAGGCTCAACGCTGGACAATGTTGTCGTGTTTATGAGTTTGTCTGACCTACAAGGGACTCTGGTCTACAATTAGTTAGGTCAAATTAACATATGTTAATTCATGTTGATATATGTTAATTTATGTTAATTTACGCCAATGTTTAATTTATTGATGTCGATGATGCTAATTCAACTAATCAATCAATCCATTAATCAATCAATCAGTCTATCAATCAGTCTATCAATCAACCAATCAGTCAATCAATCAATCAATCCAGCCAATCACAAATCAGGTCACCTGAATGATGGATCCGGCAATTGGAAGATTCAAAGTTTGACCTGGATTCGGGGGCGACCATTGGTCGATGTTGTGGCAGGCTAGGTAATTAATATTCATATTTTGTAAATAATTCAGTAATTAATATTCATATTTTTTAATAAATCAGTCTTTCTTAGCTAAAAATAAATCTCATGTTGGTGAATATTAATAACGTGAGCTGTGTGTGTGTGTTTGTGTGTTTATGTGTATGTGTAATTGTTTGTTTGTGTGTGTTTGTTTGTTTGATTGTGTGTTTGTTTGTTTGTGTGTGTTTAAGTGTGCTACTGCTGAAATACTTCAGTTAAAGTTAGAAAAATATGATCATATTTATATATGCAATAAACACACAAATAAACACACACACACACACACACACACACACACACACACACACACACACACACACACATAATACACACAGAAACACACACTCACAAACACACAAACACACTCACACTCACGCACACACACTCACGCACACACACTCATGCACACACACTCACAAACACACACTCACACACACATAATACACACAGAAACACACACTCACAAACACACTCACAAACACACTCACAAACACACACACAATACACACAGAAACACACACTCACACACACACAATACTCAGCCAACCAGCTTCCAGGCTGGGAATGCCAACATCAAAAAATTGCGGGGCCAAGATGTCGTTGAGGCATGTGAAGAAATTGACGAACTGGAATCTCGAGATGATGACAACCGACTAAATGGATTGATTGATTGATTGATTGACTGATTGATTGGATGGATTGAGTGAGTGAGTGAGTGAGTGATTGATTGATTGATTGATGGATTGATTGATTGATTGATGGATTGATTGATGGATTGATTGAGTGATTGATTGATTGAGTGATGGATTGGCTGATTGATTGAATGAATGAATGAAGAAGAGGACGGATGAAAGAAAGAATTTTCAAAAGTAATTGAATGAATGAATGAAATAAATGAATGAAACCTTCTGGAAGTAGCCACGCCTGATCGTTCGATCTTTCATCTGCCTGAAGTACACATAGCCATACAGGTAATTGCAATCTACCTAGAATTGAACACGCATGAATATGCTAATTAGGCGAGCACTATGTTAATGAGGTATGAATATTATAATGAGGCATGTATATGTTAATGAGGTGCGTATGTATGTGCTAGTGCCGCGTGCATCATATGTCACACCAACGGAATTGAAGACATACAGACACACAAACACACACAGACACACACACAAACACACACACTCACACACAGACACACACACACTCACACACACACACACACCTGAAGAGCAGTAGGGCAGTGCCTGTTGAACTGGTGGAAGTAGCTAAAGTTTTGCTTGGAGGTCGGGCATCGGCGGATTCTGAAGTGAAACTTTGTGTCCCCCGTGCAACCTTCACAATTGTTATAATTATAATTATGTTATTATTACTATTTATATTAAATGAATGAATGAATGAATGAATGAATGAATGAATGAATGAATGAATGAGTAATTAATCAAAAGAAAAAAACAATTAACTTAAATTTTCATAATATTTATGTTATATGAATGAATGAATGAATGAATGAATAAGTAAATGAATGAATAAATTGATAAATTAATGAAAGAGAGAATGTTTGAAAAAATGAAAAACCAAAGGGAAAAAAATGACAAAAATGATGACAACAACCTCACCTGAGTTTGAATCAGGGAAGGAGAGATAGCAGATGCTTAGCTTCTGTAGTTGACGTTATGATGACATTCTTGTCATACTTACACACACACACACACACACACACATACACACACACACACACAAGAACACACACACACACACACAACGCATACCTCCTTTTCAGTTAACTTGGCATGGCTTGGATAAATCATCTAAATGGCAAAAATATTAAAACTAAATAAACACACATAGATAAATGTATGAATAAATAAATATATGAATAAATTAATATATGAATAAATTAATATATGAATAAATTAATATATGTATAAATTAATACATAAATGAATGCAAAGAGATCCAAAAGTTCTTGTGTGTGTGTGTGTGTGTGTGTGTCACCATTGAAATTTCAGAAAAGTAAGAGAGGGAATTTTATTTCCAAGCGAACAAACTCTTATATTACAATTAGGAAATATAATTATTATAAATTATTTTATTATTAATTATATTATTATTATTATTTACCTCCATGGCCTGCCCCAGTTCAAGGTCAAAGGTCACAATGCAGATGCAATGTATCCAATTGTGGAATCTATCCCATGGTAGATTAGTATTATTATTACTATTACTTTTTAATGTTATTGATGTTGTTGTTGTGGATGTTATTGTGGATGTATATGTTGATGTTGTTGTTGTTGTTGTAGCTGATGCATTTGTAAATGATGTTGTTGTTGTAGATGTCAGTGTCTTATCTGGTGCTGTTGTAGTTTTTGTTGATGTTGTCGTTAGAGGAAGTGTTGTAATTGACGTCATGGTTGATGACGCTATTGTTAATGATGTTGTTGCTGCTGTTGTTGCTATTGTCTTACCCTCACTTGACTCACTATCTCTCTCCTCATCTTCACTGGTAGACATTACTACTGAATTATTGTGATGTAAGTCCTAAAATCTAAGCATAAGTCACACATAGGTAACACATCAGTCATTATGAAATAAATAACATTTAAACTTTAAAGATTAAACTAAATTAATAAAAAATGTTGACCAATTATCACACACTCACAGCTCACAGACAAACAAACACACACAAACACAGACAAATCCTTGAATTCAGGGCGAATCTTCCACTGATTTTTAATTAAAAGTTTAACTTTTTAGTCATAAATAAACCATTAATTAAATTAATTTTAAAAAGAAACTATTAAAAATAAAATAATAATAATGAATAAATAATAAAATAATCAAAAATTGAAAGTTAAAACTAAAAAGTAGAAAAAACTGACTACTGATTCAATAAATTTCGCAATTAACATTTCCCTACCTCAGATTTATTCTTAATTTCACATTAATTGAAAAATAAAACTTAATAATATTAATTACAATCTAAATTAAGTTTAAACCTTTTTTTACAACCCAAAAACCGTAAGCAACGCTGGATACAGAAAATGATGGCAACCGTAAACCAAAACATTGTGGAAAGCCGAATACAATTTAACTTGAAAAATTTGTTTGTTTGTGTTTGTTTAATTGCAATTAAACTTGAAAAAATTTTATAAAATGCAAATAAAGTGAGGGTATTTGTGTGTTTGTTTGTCTGTGAGTCTGTATAATCACAGATTTCTCTAGATATGTGTGCCTGCAGGTGTGGTACTTTCGTTGGTCGAACTTATTTAAATTTTTTTATATTTCAGTTTAGAATTTTTCTATTTCAGTTTAGAATTTTAAAATCTCACATGTTTACACACGATAAACATGATTGCATCTAACGGTTAGAATCTATTTTATTACTAAGTAGTCAACTAAACATGTTTTAAAACATTAAAATAGAGAATTAAAATAACGATAAACGATGCAAATAAAATGCTTATCGTAGATAAAGTTCAGAAAATAAATAAAAATAAGTGCCAGTCAATAATAAGGCACTATAAATACACGTCTCGAAAACATCGTAAATGATAATTCGAGTCTATTCTTTCTGTTTCGAGTCACTTTCATCTTTCTGCATTTTGCGTTCGTAGCTCTGTTCGTGCGATGCATCGAACAGATTATATCTTTCCAGCATTGGTAGATTTCTCATCAAAGGATCATGGCGCGGGTGGGGATAATCCAACATTATCCTTCTCTTCTGTCGTCTGATGGCCTCGTCCAGGTCCAAATCTGCTGCCAGTGATTCGGTCAGTTGTTCCTTACTCTCATTTTCTTTGTTTGAATCTTCAACTTCTTCCATCCCTTCTTCTGCAACATCAAAACGAATCTTCTTAGCTTCTCTGAGATTATTCGCCGTTTGTTTTGTTGGATTCAAGACGCTCGTTCTGATTTTTCTTCTCATAGCCTTGTAGTCTTCATCTTCTTCCACAATACCATAACGAATTCTCTCAGCTCTTCCAAGAGTACTTGTCAGCGGCCTGTTCAGTCTCAACATGCTGCCCCTCTTGCTTTCTCTTATGTCAGATTTGGGAGTTGAGTGCATCAATTTGTTCGCCATGTTTTTGGCACCCGAGCTGAAAATCTTTGGTGTGGATGTACACCACCTACAGGAAGGGGAGGGTTTCACAAGGGGTGACACTCCTAAAATTGAAAACTTTTCTACTACATTTGGGCTCTTTATTTCCTTCACGTAATCCCGATATATGTAAGGTTTGTTGAGCAAGTACGTCTGAAATTCAGGCGATATGTACTCTCCACCAGTGTTTACCAATCGACGATTCTTTGGCCTGTTAAAAAATAAACAATTTATTTTAGAATTAGAATGATAAATTTTACGTGAGTAAGTGAATATCTGATGTATGTGCGGCATGTAATTATGTACAGATCTTAGAAATTAAGTAGAATGGAAAGATAATAACCTGTCTGAGTGGTACTCGTTGCGTCTTAAACTCATAGCCGTTCCTTTTTTCTCCATCTTATCTCTACTGATAGCTATAAATTCAACAACAAATTATTGCAATCCAAATTATTTGATAATGTTCAGAAAGATGCCTCACACTTGAGCTGTTCGACATGTGAAACCCAAAGTTCCCTTATATACTATTCGGTCTCGTCAAGGATATTTATTAATCTCTGCTACTATCTCTGTGTGTGTGTGTGTGTTTGTATGCGATGGAATGAATGTGCCTAGTAAGTTATCGTAAATTAAAATTATTAACAATGACTGCCTAATAAAGTTGATTTCTAACTAATTTAAAATAAGACTACAACTAAAGTTCTTATCGATTCATGAAAGTGAGTTTACGACCACTTTAGTGATGACGACTTCGGTAAAGTAGTTTGAGAATGATGGTTTATAACAAACAATAAAAATTTATTACAATAATATCATACCCTATTCATTTATTATTCGCGATTGTCATCATCAATCTAGGTATTGGCGCAGGTTGAAAACAAGTCTGAAACGTAATTCGGCAACTAATTCTTAAAAATATTTCATTAGGCTCATGACTAGGAACCGAAATATTAGGATTTCCAAATAATTATTCTAAACGCTTTCAATTCAGAACTTATAAATATAGATACAGGTCAATTTCGAGACTGGCTCGATTATTATTTCAATACCAAACAGTTTTAAACAGAAAAAACATTTCAAAGAAAAAATAAATGAAATAAATGTTTGTATGAATTATGCCAGTTACGGTGAAAATGAATAGTTTCCAAATGCATGTTAAATGATAATTGTTAAAAGTTTTATAAAGGAGAAAAATAACTAGTAGAATAACAAGGAAGGTACATTTTTATAGATGAAATTAAAAAATTTTTACCATTTGATAGAATAATAAATACGTGTTTAAATTAAATTGTTTTTGAATATTCAATCGTCGTCGTCGTCGTCGTCATCTTCATCATCACTTTCTTCAGCAACTGACTTAGCAGGAGGTACTGCTGCTGCTGGAGCTGCTGCAGAAGCTTTTGAAGTAGCTTTCGCGACTTTAGCCGATGCAGCTGTTGCTTTCGCGACTTTAGCCGGTGGAGGTGCTACTTTGGCGACTTTAACCTGTGCATCTGTCTTTCCGCCTTGCGCTTTGACATTTTTTGCCACTCCAGCCTTTTTATCATCTTTAGATTTGGCAACTTTTTCCTCTCTGGATTCCTTTGGCTCGGCTTCTTCTTTTAGTGATACCTTCGGTGATTTTGACAGTTTGCTGCCAACTTTTGCTTTCAAATTTTTCACTGAATTTGAAGGAGACGTGTAAAATGAGATAGCAAATGAAATTTTTTGGAAGTGAATGAAATAGTATTTAAACGGTAACTACGAAAAATTAATCAAACATACAAATAAAATATTTACAAAAAAATAAAACAATCAATTTTTGTTGTACCTTGTTGGACTTTATGCTCGTAGAATTCTGGATGTTTCATCCTTACGAAAGCCACTGTGGATCCAATGGACAGTAAGAGGAACAGAAGGAATGACACAGCGACGATCAAAACCTTCAAGAGCGTATCGTTTGTTTGGGCGACGCCGCCACTGCTAACAATCAAAAGTTTTATCTCATTTATTGAAATTTCCAAAAAAGGCTGAAATCCATCGGACGTTCAACAAATTTGTGTCTATATTGTGTCTAAATTTAATTCACACGTTTCGTGTCGAGGGTTATATATCATTAAAAAACCTCTCAGCACCGTTTTAAGAAATTAGTGTTCACAATACTTACATTATAATTATAAACAGTTTTTTTCGTTATTTGTCAAATAATAATTATTTTCATTACAAAACTAAAGTTAAAAAGATTACTAAACTTGTTTCACTTTCGTATACTTCGAATTCAACTAATGCGAAGGGGTCAGTAGTATTTGGTGTAATGACGACAAAGTGAGCGTTCGTCGGCCTCTCACACGTCATCCTCAAAGTAATGTCCTTCAATTTTCGGTAAAACGCCGCAGGGCTCGAGACTGTCTAGCATTTTTTCAGTTACTGAGTCCAGTGTTTTGTTCAGTCTAACTCTCATCCCTTTGATGCGATCGACTGTTTGTATTTGAGAATATACGTTGAATGTTAAAGCTTATAAAGTTTAATATTCATGACGCAATCAATCCGTTTGACGACCATAAATACCATCACATCTCTAGACACATCAAATAACTTTATAACTATAGAATTGACCCTTATACCCATTTGTGAAATTTTTACTTTTAAACCCATCACCATATTTTGCTGCTGCTCACTTGTAAATATGTTTCAGGAATGTCCTAACAATAACCGCGGCACCCTCATAAAGGTTACAAATTGTTCCTGCTATCGTAATCTCGAAAAGCTGTTTGATTGACTAAACTGCTATCTTTGTCAATTTAGTGAAGTTCAATGTGATTCTTAGTCTTTTAATTTCTTCCATTCAAAACTACCTTCTAAGTTCTTATTTAATATTCGGCCCTAAAGCACTCAAAAATTCCACCCAAAACCTAAATATGGCTAAATTCTGCTTAGGTCGGATTTGAAAAAGCCAAATCCGGTACAGCCTCAGTTCAAGCAGAGATTTAAAATTTTCACATTCTAGTAAGATTGTTCAATGAGGCTTGTATAAGAGCTTTTGTTTGCCTCACGTGAAGTAATTTATTTGTAGCTTTATAATTAGCAAGATTTGTTCAATTAACTACATTACACTACGCTACATTTCTTCTGATTTTTAATTCTATACAAAAAAAAGGTTTTAAACTTCATTTAAAACAAATTACTTGAGCATGTCTGTTTTTCAGCTTTTGAAAAATACACAGAATAAAATAAAGTGGACTCCCTTCCAAAGACAGTATTTTTACAAACACACAGAGGTAAAGAGTTTTTGATCCAATTCGGTTATTTTCATTGGAAATGTATTCAGTGGCGTCAGAGCCGAAATTGAGACAGAGGAGAGAGACCTGGATACTCCATGGGGACTTTTAAAAAAAAGGGGCCTATCACAAAAACGAAAATTCAACCTTCCGATGATTTCAAAAACGAACTAACCCTCACAAGTCCAGAGCTTGTTTCTGTATTGGCCTTGATTGCAGACGCATTCCGAATATTTTACACCATTCACTGTTGTTTCTTTACAATCTAGACCAACTCCACAGTCACCATTGCTTTTACTGCACTCTATGTTCGAGTTTGTCAATCAGTTGCTATCATAAATTTTTGTGAAGTATGGTTAATAACATGCTTAACATGCACAAAAACTTTGGAAACACCAATTATGACAGGTTTGTAAATTTGAAAAACCCTCAAGAAAAGACAATAGACAATTTAAAAACATGTACTAGGCAGTTAACATCTGTGTCATAAACAGACCTCTTACGTTGCACGAGCCCCCTGTCCACCCAGTCTTACAACCACCGCTGCATCTAAAGTTTGGACTGAGTACATCCCCAGAACTGCAATGGCTGATGACGAAGCTACCCGTCTGTATCTCGATTTGTGGCTCAGCTGCGTGGCGTTTGAAGTATTTATATATCATGTGAGGTAGCGAAAACAGAATGTAATAAATTCCACGTTTTTAACATTCTCATAAATACAATTTTTAGATACGCACACCATATTCCCGAACACACCACCACACTCAACATTCTAGTCACCAGTTCAACAAAATTTACTTTCGGGCTCAAACCTCACTTCACTATGAATTTGTATAACGATTGATTGATTGATTGTTGAGCGATCAAGAAATAATAAAAATGTTTTTTTTAATCTGAAAAATTAATAGTAAGAAAAATGACTTGCTTGAGAATTTAGGCTGGCAACTGCATATCTGCTGGCCTATATCTCCTGGACAATTCTTCTGACATTCATTAAAAAATCCGTTTTTAGAGTCTGGTACTTGGTCCACACGTAAACTACAGTAACATTCGAAAGCATCCTGCAAAAAATAACTTTCTCAATGCAATGCATTTAAGTAAGATCATTATTTTTACATTCAAATCTTCGTAGGTATGGGTTATCTTTATTTTAAACGGAATTTTGTTAACAATTTCATTTAATTCCAGTGTCGCATTTTCGTGTTTTTGGAAGGTTTTGGCCAGGAATGCCCAGTGAACAATAGTTATAAATTTTTTGTTTCATTTACGAACTCCATTGTGGTCAACCGGCTTTCTTTTCATATTTATCCTAACTCTATTTTAATTGTGAGAGGCAAATAAAGTTTCGTTTCGCATTGTGAATATTTCTACATCTCGTGGAATCGGTCACTTTAGACTGTCTTAATAACAGGTATCCTTATGTTTCGTGTATGTGATTTGGTTACCTCTAAATTGTTAATTACATTCGATCTGTTCCTGCTGCTATAAATTTTTTTTTTAGAATTTTAATTTGTTGCCTACTCTTTCAAAACTGTCGTGTCGAACCAATCTCGAAAAATAGAACTCCAGATCAGAATGAACTCTATAACTATCATACTGCATCAAATGCCACCTTTTTGTCAGATGTTGTGGAACTTGGTTTTTCAACCAACGACAACGACGAAAAGCAACGACATTCTTCCAGTTAATCATTCACACTATCGCTAGGCCCATTCAACTGAATGTTTTGTTCAAGTTGCACCGATCTTAAGGCGTCCAAAACTTGCTCGTTTTAAATGAAATGACCCTCTGACTGCGTCAACCACACAATACCTACTAAAAAATTCAAACACTCATCTTCAGAGTATCTGCTATTGTTTTCAAACGGCTTAAATCGAACCTTACTCTAATCATCAAAATGTTAAAACTAATTCATCATTAAAATGATCACTTACGGTAATCTGAGCTATATCGGTCTTCAGTTCCAGGCACATAGTTAAGCATATCTCAGTCGTTAGAAAATCTTTCGCCTCGATTTTTGTACTTTTGACAGGAAGTAATGAGAAGATATCAATCAAGGAGTGTTCGAAATCTTTCAGAGTCTTGACTTGCAGGTTATGGAAATAGTATTATTATTAATAATATAAATTATTAAAAACAGGAATGTATGGCACGTCAATTTTATCTATCTACATATCCATAAGGTGGTTTGTTAACTTACTGGCATATAGAGAATAGTAGAGCCTGCTTCCACATTGGTGTTTTCTGTCCGGACATTTCATGGAGCACTGGGATGAAGCAATGGGATACTTGGCACGTTCGACGCAGTAACATTCATTTCCGTTCTGTTTCCAGTTTTCATTTTGTAATTTGAATTTTATTTTAACTCAAATGTTATTAAACAAATGTAATTTATTATGAGCGCGCTTAAGTAATTGATAGTGAGAATAAAAATGAAACTTTTATCTTTTGTCTAATTGTTCATTGTTGTCCAAGAGTCCAAATTGGAGTTTTGGACAAATTATTTCGTACATGAATGCTTAAAAATGTATCGTCTGAAAATGGCCGCCAGGCTTGCCTCTTTTAGCTAGACTTGCATTGTACTCGACAATCAAATTTCAGGTAGCGCAACAGTGTAATGGCTAAAATGTCTGACACTTCTTCTGCAGTGACTTCGTTCGAATGCAGAGATACCCGCCTATAACATGCAATGTATCTGTCTGATGCAAACACTCGAACGTATTTGTCATTGTGCTGCTGTTAATACTACTGAGAAATTTAAAAAAAGGGATTTGAAACAAAGGGAAAATTAACTTCGAGTGAATGAGCTTAAAACGTATCGCTTATTTTCTTAGTGAGCTTCTAGCCGGACAGCTGAACGCAAAATAGGGAAAAGCGTTTTAAAAACTAAAAAAGACAGACATGCAGAGCAATGTAGGCCAAAGTTTTTTCCATGCAGAAATCTTTGCAATGCTGGTAAGACTTGACATTTCGAACAACCGTTGCATCCGTGTGCACGATGAATCCGTAGCAACCAATGTAGGTCTCGCCGGCGGCGTCTGAATTAATTTCAAGTGTAAAAAGGAAAATGTTCCGAATGAAATAAAATGAAACACTAAAAGAAATTATGATACAAATTTAATCGTCTGTAAAAAATTTGTTATTCGAAACGTTCAGATGACAAATAAAATCTTGGAGTGTATAAGAAGAATACCGGTTCCCGGGAAGAGATGAAGATGGATGAAAAGCAGTAAAATGAGGAAGCTGATACAACTGAAAGCTGTCATCTTGCAAGAACTGTGGGGTCACAATTTGATTGGATGCCTCTCAGCTCCGGATCGCTTCAAGTTCCAACAAGAGGCTAAGCAGCGAAATTTAATTTATGTAAAATTTATAAACCCTTATTTTTTTCCTAATGTCGTAAAAACAGAATTTAAAAAAAACTAAAATTGGCAACAAATTCGAAAAATTAATTCAACTGAATTTGAAGTTTCGAACGACTGCAAAGCAGTGATCGTTTGAAAGTAAACAAACAAACGAATTACGTCAGCGTGAGGCTGCGTTTTCGTTTCATTCAACTTTCAGTTAAAAAAGTTTTATTGCTACTGGTGGCAATAACAGAAGCGAGTGATCGGTTTCAAGTTCGAAATGTTGTTCGAAACAATTAAAACTATATAAAAATCATGTTTGTGTAATGTTGATTGGTTATGTAAATATAAATAAATGCGTATACACGCGTGTCCTACACGGTTACAAGAATATTCAAACACTAAATATTAATCTGGCGAGATGGTGTAACGGCTAAGACTCTTGCCACTAATGTTGCGGTGACTTGGTTCGGATGCAGAGAGATTCTAAACCTCCTATCACATACAGTGCATGTGATTGATTCGCGATATTTGCATGTGGTGTCTGCGTGCGTGTGTGTATGGATACTTTTGAGGGTTAATTAAAAAAGGATATCGAAAATAACACAACTCTACCTCCTTTTCAAAACAGCCGACATCCAACGAAACGAAAAAGCATTTAAATTTGTTTATAATTGAGGAAAATGTTTACTATTATTGAAATTTTACCAATGACGAAACAAAGATAGTAAATAAGGCAAGACAAAATGTTGACTGAAATTTATTTTTTTTAAATCAATTGAATTAATATTTACTTGTTCATACGGGCAAATTATAATAGCAAAAATGAATGATTAAAAATATATCAAACAAATAATAATAACGAAGATGATGACGACGACGATGATGATTGATGAAGCGATAAGACTATAACGACGATGTTGATGATGATGGTGGTGATATTGAAGATACAAAGAAAATTGAATTGGATTTTCAATCTTTGATAGTACGGATCTTTTTGAGTTCTTTGTAGATCACCCATTGCCGAACTGTGGGTTGATTGAATTGGTTGGTTGATTGACCAATTGGATAATTGATTTGATTGGTGGATTGAATGATTTCATCGATTAATTAAATTCTGGTTAGCTGATTGTGATTGGTTGATATATTAGATGAATGATTTCTTAAAGTTGTTTTGATTGGTTAACTGATCATAGTTGGTTGATGATTTTTTTGATTGATTTGTAAAATAATTTTTTAAGTGATTGATCAATGGATGAATGGACAGGTTACATCAACTGATTCTAATTGTTTGGAATTTAAAAAAAAAGACCTGTAGGATCGAACTTGTACATCTCTAACTTGTCGGCCAGTCGGGGTCGAACAGTCGCAAACTTGTGACCACTGCCTGCCAGACTCTCCAACAACACTAAGATAAATCTATTTAATTAAATTAATAATTTAATTTAACACAATTTAAAAATGAATAGATTAACTATTAATTTAAAATTAAATTAAAGTTTAATTAAACTCTGTACATCTAAATACTTAGTAAAGTAAATTAATTGTAATAATTAATTTATTTTTTAATCATAGCTTATTTCTGACTAGGAGACAAAAAGAGGCTCAACTAAAATAACATGCAAATTTTTTAAAGTTACTGACAATGAGTTGTGATATTGAGAAATTTAATTCTAAATGAAATGAAAGTGAAAAGCTAAGTCTAAGATTTTAAGGTCTAAGAATTGGACCTAGTCTTAGTTAGACTTAGTCAGATAGACTCAGTCTTTCTAAGGTCTGCTCTAAGCTAAGAGTCTCACTGTCTACTCTAGGACTTGGTCTTACAAAAAACAGCAGAAGCAAGACCCAACTCACTTTCCTTTAGCTTTGGCCATTGCGGAACTTTAAAAAAAAAATTTATTAAAAATTTTTTCTAAAAATTATAACAAAAAATCAATTTTCGTTTATTTACTTAGGAAATGTATTTTAATATCTTTCAATAAAGCTCTAACTTTCGCCTCAAGTTTGTTTTTTAAAAGTTAATCTAAGCAGAACAAAGAAAAGTTGTGCCGGGTTTAAAAACGTCCCATAAAAAAAATTATACAAAAATTTAATTAATTTCAATCATAAATTATTTAATTAGGAGATACTTTAGCCCCAAACCTTTCCTACTAGCCACCCTTCTAGGGGTGAGTATGCAGAACCAGGAGGGGGGCCTGTAAAAAGAAAAAGTGGCTCTGCAAATTTCTGTTTGTTAAAAAAAGTAAAAAAGTGTGTATATGTATCGTTGGTAAGCTCTGAGATTGTTCGAATTTCTACTTTTCAGGATAAAATCTTCATTTTTATAAACTAATTTCGATTTTATTTCAAAATACTTTACATATCATTGATTGTATATCATAAAACATTGCTAAAATCTATGCACTGTACTGAAATAATATATAAGTATGTATAATTACAAAAATATATAAAAATATGTGATGTACGAGTGTGTGTGTGTGCACGTGTGTGTGTGTGTGTGTACGTGTGTGTGTGCATGTTTGTGTAATACACTCAAAAACATAAAAACTTGGTAGACATCAAAAAGCATGAGTCATAAAAAAGGCATAAAAATTTAATTTAGACAATTTGCTATGACAGTAACCAATGAATTAATCAATTATAATTATGCTTAAATTTCACACATATCATTTTGCATATATTAGCGTCGACATTGTGACTAAAATCTGATATGTAAAATTACGACGTGTATTTATCATTGTGAAATTGCGAGTTTCAAAACGTGTGGCCTATTTTTTTTAATTTTATTATCGTATTTTAGTACATAATTCTTCATCCCAGTCACACTGATTTAAAATTAATTGTCTGTGTGGAAATAATCGAATGAAATCCCTCTTGAGTGCATATTTTTTGTTCGTTCGTTTGTGGCCCTGTTATAATCTACCCGCTGAAGGCATTTTGATGTCTCGCGATTACTTCACAAACCTGAGCATCTGATTTTTGCCGCTGCCTAACTCTGTGAATATGTTTGCAGAAGGTGTTGTAGCCGGGGCAGGTGCAGCGGAACATGTGCTGGCAGAGGAACTGGCAGATGCTCATCTGACAGGGGACGCGACAATCTATCGGACAGACCTCGCATAACTCCGTAACGTAATGTTCTACACCACCGTCTACAACAGCCCAAACCCGCGGCGAAATGTAGTTGACAGTTCGAATGCTGTTGAGCTCAATCCTGGAAGAAGCGGCATGGAGCATGAAGATGATGTGAGGCGTCAGGACCGTTCTAGTAACGTAGGATATGGTATGGGAGTTGTACAGGTGCTCCCTGAGGAGGAAGCCGCTAGGACACAACTCCTTGCAACCAGCCAGTGGGCAACGACGGAAAACTGCTTTCGGCGTGTCATCGGCGTTTACCTCGATTACTATATCGTTTTGGTAATCGTCGTGATGAGTATCGAGGTGTCTGAAGAATTCATCCTCGCCGTGGAAAGGGAAGTCTCTGACGTTGCGGTAACAGCCAAGGAAAGGACACTTTGTCTTTATTTCAACGACGGGACAGCTTTTCCGCAGGTGAAACTTCAAAATGGATTGAAGGTGGTATTTTTCGTGACACCACACACACTCAAATGACCCCGTGTTGGAGCCAATCAGCATGTCATTAACATGCCCTCTTAGTGTCCCGTCAGCCATAATTTCAATTTAAAAAAGTAATAACAGCAAGGTAAACTTCTATAAGGAGTTGAAATTTAAAAAAATACTTTAAAAATTGGCGGGAAAAATTGAGTTGGTTGTTAAATTAAACAAAATTACCAGTTCTCTTTCCTACTTATTGTGGTTAAAACAATTTCACTTTGCGATTAAGTTAAAGTCATTAATTTTTTTATAAATTAAAAATTGTCAAATAACAAATGACCTTTTTTATAGTTTATCAGTCCTTTTATTTTATATATTTATTTCTTAAATTTCACACCTGATTAATAATTACTTAAATTTACTTTTAAAATTTAAATGTTTGAAACTAAAAGTTAATCTACGGCTTGTTGTGTACTACAGGTAGGCCGAAGAATTTAAGTTTAAAATTTGTTATCTTAAATCGAATTAAATCTTAAATGATTATACCTAAAAATAGTGAAATAAATAGATTTTAAATTGTATTAATGTTTAAATTTAAAGTTTTTTTTATTAAAGTTAAAGTTAATTAAACGAACCATTTTTGACAAACCTTTTTTCCAGCTTTATTTTATTAACTTAGTTTAAACTTTAAACAATTTAAAATTTGAAATTGATTAATAATAATGTTAATCAATTTTTCAAAACTATTTAAAAATCAAATTAAAAATTGAGTGACGTGTTCTGTTTCCTCCCTAATTTTAGGAATTCTTACTAAAGTAATGAGTAAAGTATATGATATATATAAGAAAGATGGTATCATATAATAATTATATTATAATTATATTATAATAAATAATATGGCACCCGTGGAGTATATGTTATATCTTAAATTTAGGATATCCGACCAGAAGAAACCCCAAACAGTCAAATGATGAAGCGCGTAGTTAAAAAAGTTCTCAGCCACTGGGAAAACGAGGGGGTGGGGGCCAGAGTTAGGCGGAGCATTGGAAGGCCAGAGGTCAGATAATGATGATAATGATGAAGATGATGATGATAATGATGAAGATGAGGATGATTCTGACAAACAATGGTTAACATCATCATCAGCTTCATGTATTCCATCATTACTATAGTTATTATTACCATCAAAAGTACATTATAATTATCTTCATCGTCGTCATCATTGCGATCATTGTCATCTTCGCCAGCTAAAGAACCTTGACCCCTTCTTGTTATTGGATGAGTTGAGTGGCCGCCCACCCGCTGGTTTCCCCGACCACCCACACAGAGGATTTGAAACTGTTGGTCGATTGTGATTGGCTGGCTGTGAATGTGAATGATTGGCTGTCGATTGTGATTGGCTGGTTGAAGATGGTTGTCTAATTGTGAATGATTGGCTGTCGATTGTGATTGGCTGGTTGGGATGGTTGTCTGATCCTGATTGGCTGGTGGATGGTTGGTCAGTCGATAGTTGGCTGTGGTTGGTCGATTTACTAATTTACTAATTTGAACTCATGGATTCTGATTGGCTGAGTGATTGCCATTGAAAGATTTACAAACGTTCAGGTCAGCTACTTGCTGAGTGGCAACATACGTCACGAAGATTTCATGGGAAACAAAGGGGACCTCGGTGCAGGGGATGTCCAGGTATGTGTGTGTGTGTGTGTGTGTGTGTGTGTGTGTGTGTGTGTGTGTGTGTGTGTGTGTGCGTGTTGGTTGATTGACTGATTGACGGATTAATTGATAGATAAATAAATTTATTGATTGATTGATTAATTGATTGATTGATTGATTGATTGATTGATTAATGTTTGATTGATAAATGGATAGATAGATTGATTGATCAATTAATTGTTTGACTGAAAGATTTGATTTAAAAAACTTTTCACCCATTCATTCATTTTTTCATTCATTCATAAACTCATCCACCCATCCATCCATCTATTTATCCATTCATTAATTCATCCACCGATCCATTAATCCATCCGTCCATCAGTGGATGACAGCCGGAAGAGGAGTCGTCCATTCTGAAATGCTGCATGGTGACGAAGTGAGTGCATTACGATGATGATGGTGATGATGACGATGATGATGATGGTGATGATGATGATGATGATGATGATGATGGTGACGATGACGATGGTGATGATGACGATGATGATGGTGACGATGGACTAGTAGCGATTTTACGGTCATCGCCATAATTTCAAAGGCCGCCATCATTATCGCCACATTCATCCATCGTCGTCGTCATCATCACCGCTTATCATCATCATTATCATCATCATCATCATCACTTATCATCATCATCATCATTATCATCATCATCATCATCATCACTAGGTGACACATGGCCTTCAACTTTGGGTGAACCTTTCAAAGAAGGACAAAATGATCGCGCCCTCCTACCAGGAACTTCCGGCCGAGAAGATCCCCACGGCCGCCAAGGACGGGGTCAAAGTCAAGGTCATTGCTGGAGAGTCCCTGGAGGCTAAGGTCAGTTGGTGGGCTTGTTTGTTGTTGTTGTTGTCGTTGGTGGTGGTGCGTAGTTTTGTTCATCATGTCCAGCAGACTCATCGTCATCATCATCATCTCACCATCATCATCATCATCATCGTCGTCATCGCAATTATCATCATAAC